GGGTAGCGTTGGCGTGGTGCCGTCGTCACTTCCGTGTGCGCCGCGCGTCACTTCCTGGCGGGATGGCGGCGAAGCGGTCGCGGGCCGCAATGGAGGAGCAGGAGAAGGCGTCGACGCGGAGCGACGACCGCGAGCAGGCGGTGAACCGCTGGGTGCTGCAGTTCTACTTCCACCAGGCCGTGGCGGCCTACCGCGCCGGGAGGAACCGCGACTTCCGGCAGCTCCGCGATGTCATGCAGGGTGCGGGGCGGGCCGGGGCGGGGGGAACCGGGCGCTCCGTGACCGACCCCCGTAGTGACCGACCCCCGTAGTGACCGACCCCCGTAACCCGTCTTGTCCCGCAGCGCTGCTCGTGCGACCCTTGGAGCGGGAGCCGGCGGTGGCCCAGATGCTGCGCGTCATGCAGTTCCTGTCGCGCATCGAGGAAGGCGAGAACCTCGGTGGGTCCCCGCGGGGTCGGTTTCCCGAGGCCGGGCGCTGCCTCTGTGGGTCGCGACCCTCCCGGAGGGACTTGGCGTGCTGTGGGCGCCCTGCCTGTTGTTCTTATCGGTAGCTCTAGAGCTTGTGATCAAACAGCTTCTGTGTCTGCTTCTGAAACCGTGGGCTGTGAATTTTTGTAGATTGCACCTTTGATAAAGAGACAGAGCTCACTCCTCTTGAGTCAGCAATTGGGATCCTGCAGCTGATTGCAAAAGAATTCAGTGTGCCTGAAAAGAAGATAGAATTCATCCACAAAGTACTGAAGGAAGCTGTAAGACCTTTTCTAATAAATAAACTGCTCGTGTCTTGTGTTCGTGTAGTTTTCTGTGAGCAACAGTAGTTGTGTAACATGAGAACTGTTATAATTAGCAGCGTGTTGGCTGCAAATGCATCTCTTCAGTGTGTGTGCTTCTTCACTGCTTACTGTAGAACTGAATGCTAGCTTGCACTGAGAGCCAGGGGGTTACCTGTGTGCCATGGTGATTATTGCATGTGCTTTTTAATTGGAAGTAGAGTTAACACAATATCGACAGATAAATTGGTCTTTTTTTCTCTCATAGGCTGTTATTGTCTGCATAAAAAACAAAGAGTTCAGTAAAGCTTTGGCAGTTTTGAAGAGACACATGGAGAAGGATACCGGAAACCACGTGAGTTGGCACCTGAATGAAAGATGGATGAGGGCTGTGACAGCTTGTGGGGCATTTGTGACTTCTACCACAGCCATAAGTTTCACTGTGACACAAGAACCTTGGGTAGATCTGAAAAAGAAGAAAAAGTAGAAGTGGTGAAATGAAATGAGCTCTTGAAAGATGAATCCTTAGCATTGAGCATTCCCCAGTCTGTTGGTTGTCACTTCAGAGTGACACGTTCCCTCATTCATTTTTTGCCTCAGGACAAACTCAAGCTTATGTGCTAGAGCAGGAGCTGGCAAGGAGGGTGGGAAGAGACCCCACTCCTGTTTGAATGCAGTGTACTGCCTGGGGCGCAGGAAGCTAACAGAATTGCTGAAAACAGTTAGATCTCCTATTTTTCCAACTTTTTCCTTAACTTAGGTCAGTTTAAATTAGTTGGGCTTACATAGCATCCAGGAAAGGCACCCAGACCCAATTCCTCAGGTTGTCACCTATAGGCCCAATAACTACTCAGAGCATTTTTGCCTCCTTCAGAAAAAGAGGACTGAGTTGCAGACTATCATCCGGGAGAAGAATCGTGCTCATCCAATAATCAGAGACTTCTCATACGTGAACTTCCAGCAGTATATGTTTCAGTTCCTGAAGGCCTATGTGGATACCTCAGAGCCACTGCTGGTAACGGTGTGTGTTTGCCCTGTTCACCTGCTTCCAGCCCTGTGCTGGCTTCTGCCCTCACGTGCAGTAGGACAGGGCATGAAATGGAATCTTGGGGAGAATGCTCACCTTTCCATGAGACCATTCAATACAGTAATTTGGCTTGTACGTGCAAAATTGCAGAGTTCAAGTAATAGTGGATTAAATCTGAAATACCTTAAATCTGTTTCTATAAGGTTTAAGCAGTTGCAGAT